GGGGGGGGAAGAGAGACACTGGTGCCCATTTCCAGCTGTTACTGGACAGGTCTCCAGTCCATCCCAGGGTCACAGAGACAAACAACCATTCACTCTCTCCTACATGATGGATATTGGCCAGCCTTTCCGCCCACATATGAACAAACAGATGTTGGATGCCAGTAAAAAAAACAAAAGTGTCTCAAACCACTTTGCTGGAAAAGACAAAAAAAATGCCTTTTCATTTTTTGTCAAAGTGACCTAAATCTTTTAACTTGCTTATTTTTTCCACCTTAGATGCTTTGGTGACATATTGTCCACCTGCTGCCAGTGTAACCTCACCTGTCGTGTAACTCATCTAAAGGCAGGTATGGTTTTTATTCCTATTTTTGGGGGGGGGGCTCACCATTTGGAAATGCCAAAACACTGATGACGAGGAAGAAGGAGATGACCAGAATGAGCCCCACCCAGACATTACTGTCAGGATCCCCATCATCTCTGCAAGCAAGAAACACATTGAATTAATTTATTTATTTATCACTAAAACGTGCTCACAGTAAACAGACGTGCTCCCCTTGTTTAGGGTGGAAAGAAAGGGAGCAAAGAGTTAGCTCAGAGGCTAATAACTTTAAATTAAAGGTCATGTTGTGGCTAAAGTCCTGACAGAAAACACTTTACCATTAAATGTGTCCTCTTAAGCCGAGATTTAATGACAGTGAGAGTTAGGACTGTTAATACGACCGATAAACCCCCATAAATACTAAGTTATAAACGGGTCCGGTCCGAGCATCACCGCTGCCGTTAGCCTAGCCTCGCTAGCCTTTAGCGGTCCGTGAACGCCTCACCTCGTGAAGGCGAAGTACATCAAACTGAGCACGGTGCCCGTCAGCAGCGTGATGGTGTGGGGCTTGTAGAAGAACTCGATGGTGATGTCTTCAACCTGCTGCTCGTTGATCATTCGGAAATGCATCCTGTAGTTCACATCATCCTTGCTCAAGGTGTGCGATCCGCTATAAGCGGAGGAGAAGGAGGCCATGGCTGTAGCAGTCCCCTCCACTGACAGCGAGAGGAAATGCGCCTCAACCATAAAAAAAAACAAAGTATTAAATATTTAAAGTTACATGGTGAGCTAGCAGCGTGCAGGCACAAAGCGACGGGCTGAGGGAAGGGAAGAACACAGGGAAATGGATGATTTATTTTTGATTGGTTTGTTTCTTTGGGAGGGTCAGAAGGCGGAAGAGTTCAGCCGTCATGAGTTTTTCTAACCTCAGGGCCACCGTACCAACCTGCTTCAAAAGGTGCATTCAAAACACCACAAAGTTAAACAAGCAAGAAAAACGATACGAAACTAGGCTTTAATATGAAAAAATAACAAAATCGACTATTTTTTTTTTTACATTGTTCTAAGCGTTTCTTTAACATTTGCCCAGTATGAATTGAACAAACTTCACATATTATGAAGCTTCCTCATGAACTTATTTCCTGAGTATAAAACTATTTCTTGGAATTTAACAGATTCACTTGATTTGTTGAGTTTGTCTCCCTCTTGTGGCCACTGATGGTAACCGAATCGCTGTCCACCTCAGTTACGGTAATCGATTTTTTGTTTGTTTGTTGTTGTAACAAAATTATTGGCATTAAATCTTATACAGTTACAAAAAAACATGATTTTCCCTTTTAAATGGTGCCACATTTATTAGAAAAATACATTTGTGGGTTCAGTAGCAGAGGCAAGGATGAGAGTATGAAAAACTAGCCAAATCTTTTCTGTCATTGCTAAAATAAAAATCTTCAATTCACTCTTGTTTGGTGATGATTATTAGATTGTAGCATTTGAGTTTGAAGAAGAAAAAAAAGACATTGGTAAATAAACAATTTATTTAACAATCAGAAGCCTGAGTAGCATGTGGAAGAGCCATACACAGCTACAACAGCCTGTCACTCCCCTCGTGCTGCTCATTTAATACATAATAATTGTGGAGCAGCATCTCATTCTTCAATCAGTATTTGTTTTAAGTCAGATAATGTGTTTCAATGGGGTTGAGTTCAGGACTGCAGGCCGGTTAGTTCATCCTCTTTACCCCAAAATTCTGGAAGTACTTTGACAAATCCCGCTCTGTGGGGGCAAGATCTGTCATCTTAGAGGACAGAGTTTGGTCCCATACTGTGGAGATGTGGGATCACCACTGGTTGCTCACTGGTGCCATTTGGCAGAGAAGATTGGGCAATTTTTCATGGCGGCTCAATCCACAAATACAATGTCCTCACAAATGTGACACCATTTAGGGGGAAATAAACTGGCTTTCAAACAATAAAATATACTTATTTATTTTTAAAATGCAGTAGAGAGATTTAAATTGTTTAACGTGGCCTTCCGTGCAACTTTATTGCAAATAGATATATCAAAATGTGACTAAAATCTTTCATGAAAGTTCAATTTTCTATATTTGTCATGCATGCCTGAGCCTTTGGTTAACAAAAAGCAATGTGCCCGTCTTGTTGACGCTCTCAAGAGATTGCTTCAATCTACATTTTATAATGCAGCCACATACTTTAAAAAAAAAATTGAAATTTGGTGTTAAATTTATTACTTTTATTGATTTATGATTTAAAATTTGTGACGGTTGTTCATTTATTAGTGTGAAAAAAATCTCGTTGCCTCAAGAAAAGCACACGTTTAGTAAAATACAAACAAAAGCAGTCAGATTAGGCGTGAAACATCAGATATCCTCAAATAAAATCAAACAGTTGTGTTATATGAAGCATGATGGTTAATTTTTGGTGCTAACATCTGGTGATGGAACGATATGATCCATAATTATGTTACTAAACCAACACTTTCAGACATTTGGTTTACTTTTTGTAACATACAGTTTATGTTCTCAGTCCAAAAGCTTTGTTTTATTAAAGAAACTTATAATTAACTGGTGTTCATTCGTACGCTTTCTTTCAATTCCCCCATAATTCCTGTGTTTTCTAACATTGTTAGCCTCAGTTGTTGTTCTGAATCCATTTAAATATGAATAATGCTGTAATTTGACCCATTTTGTTGCTCATCCCTTAACGTTTCTCATTGTTTATCTCTCTAAATAAGGTGACCAGACTTTTTATTGACACGTTATTCAAGGTCAGTCCACCACGACTTTATACAAGAATAAAAAATCAACATGAATAAACAGATTGTTTGATGGATGAATGTTCAGAACGTGAAATATGTGTTCACTAAAACAGAAACAAATTCAGCACATTTGTTGAAAGCTTCTTAAATGTAAAAAAATGAGCTATTTTTTTATTTTAACATGAGCACACAATATAAAACAACCATGTATATATTTTTTTTCTTTACTGAATGATTCACACGCACACACAAACAAATATTTGGTTCAAATTGTTACAACAAATTATATAATTTAGCTCAAATCTCCATTTTTACATATTTATTTTAATGTTTTGCAGATGACACTAGTTTGATTACAGCAGTCCTGGTGCAAGTCTCATCCTGGATTCTTTGGTTTGTTAAAAAAATGAATTAAATTAAAAATCCATCACTGGTTGAAGCGTCTGTGTGCGTTTCAGAACAAAAGCTGAACGTTTTAAAGACGAACTAAAACGCGAGACTTGGAGGAAGTATGTTTTTTTTCCAAGTTTTAGGTCAACGCTGCTTTGAAATATTAGAAACTGTACAAAAGCAAACAAACACACCAACAAAAACAGGAATTTATTACAAACAGAAGCGGATGCTTGCTTGTTCTCCCACCATGTTTGACAGAAACACCACCGATTTCCAGTTTTCTAAAAGTCAGTCTTCCTGTTTCAGCATGATGATGGGCTGCAAAACAAACAGGAGAGCTGTCAGTTAGTGACTTATCATTAAGATGCAGCTAACATCACACACCGTCTGTAACGACGTACCAGCGAGTTGAAGTGGTCTCTGCAGACGGCCTTACTGGACCAGTAGATGAGGAACAGAGCGAGGACGCTCTCCACCACCTCCAGACTCAGGATCAGTCCTTTGATTCCAATCATGAACTGAAAAACAAACAAGCTCAGGCACAAAAACAGCTGCTTTGTCTTTTACAGATGTTTAGCTCGTCCAGATGTTCGGACGGTACCTTGCTATTATTGCCTGGGTTATTGCTGTGAAAACTAAACTGCGTCACGCAGATGGAAAACGCCACGAGCGACCAGAAGAAGCAGATGATGTTGAGAGAGAACGACAGCTTCGTCTGAAAAGTGGGGCGGGAAATTAAAATAAACAAATTATATTTCCTGCAAAAATGCAGTGTGAATGCTTATTGCTGAAGAACTTGCTGAAAAACAGCTGAAATGAGTTAAAAACATGCTGAAATGTAGCTGAAATCGATTTGCAAGCCTAAATTAGCAGAAGAAAGTAGAAAGAACACATATTTGCTGATTTATCAGAGTCAGAGTCAGAGTTTCTTTATTGTCATTCGCACCTCATGTGGTACATGTGGTGGAGCGAAATTATGTACACAGGGTCCCAGTTACATCCAACAATAAAATGTATAAGAAAACAGTAATAACATCTAAGATATGAACTAAGAAAAACATCAACTAAATATACACTAAGCACTCATAACATAAAACATTGAACATCACCACAAGCATGAACATGAGTCTGTGAGCAGATGTGCACGCATGAACACATTTATGTTTAAATAAGAAGAAATTAGAACAAAAATTAGGAAATTAGCTAAGAATCTGAAATTATATTAAAAAAAACAGCTGAAAATAGCTTAAACAAAAGCAGAAAGAAGCTTAAATTACCTGAAGGAAGTGGAGAAAGCACAATTGTGCCCAATTAGGCTGAAAGAAGCAGAAATTAACACAAAAAACTGGAACTTATCTGGAAAAAAAGCAGAAATTTGCACACACACAAAAAAATAGCTGAATAGTAGCTAAAAAGCAGAAAGAAGCTTAAATTGCCAGATGCCAGTGGAGAGAGCACATTTTTGCTGAACTTGGCTGAAAAAAGTTGAAATTTGTGCAAAAAAATGTGAAATTAGCTGAAAAAGCTCAAATTGGCATAAAACAGCTAAATAGTAGCCAAAATAATTGAAATAGCTGAAACTTGCAGAAATAAGCTGAAAGGAGCATAACAAGCTGAAATTAGCAGAAAGAAGTTAGAAGAAGCACAAACATGTTATAGTTAACAGAATAAAGTTAAAAGGAGCACAAAACAGCTGAAATCAGTAGGTGTTTT